CAATCATAAAATAGAAGTTTTTGCTTTAAAAAAAAGAACTATGTACAACTAAATTGTGCCTGGGTATTTTTAAGAGACACAAAAGCAAAGGTTAACGTGGTAGCCCATGACTAAACGAAGAAAACATCTTAGTACATATACTGAATGTGATGTTTTTCTTTATGTAGAGTTGTCTATCTTCCCTTTGCTTTTGCTTTATTTTAAAAGGATCTGTCGTAAAGAGCTGCATATTTTAATCATTCAGAGTGTTAAGCAAATTAGACCATGTATAAGGGGAGATTTTATGATAGGAAAGAAAGTTCATAAAATCTGAGTTTGTAATCTACATCTAAAGCTAAGTAGCCTTCTACTCAGGAATACAATTTATTAAGTCAGTAGGAACATGGAATATAATTTTGTTGGATAGAAACATAAGTAGTAAGGAAGGAATAAAGGTCAGTACACAAAATCTACTTAATCCTAATGTACATAAATGTAGAACATACTGAAACCCAATCACCATGGAGCACACAGTTTCTATGCGGAAAAGGATTTCAGAATTGTGTACTGGAGGCCAGAAACTCGTCTTCCCCAGCTGTAGTAAGATCATGATTATGGCGGCAGGGAGGGGAACTCCAGGGTCTTTTAACTCTTGGTGGAGATGAGGACATCCTATGTCATCTCACCAGACAGCCCCGTGGGTCCCTGTTTGTTCCCAGATGACTCTCTTTCTGTTACCCCAGCAGCCTCTGGGGTTGGCCCTTCCATTGCCACCATCTGAGATTTCACAACCAGGTTATCTATCTCTCCTTTTTGCAGTGCCTCAGCAGCTCTCTACTTTCCTAATATAGAAAGCAAGCCCTCACCACCACCAAAAAAAGGGAAGGAAACCCAGTGCCTTGTTAAAGGTTTTGCTCACTTGTTGTCTTTTATATTTTTTTTTTTTAATTTTTTTTTCAACGTTTATTTATTTTTGGGACAGAGAGAGACAGAGCATGAACAGGCGAGAGGCAAAGAGAGAGAGAGACACAGAATCGGAAACAGGCTCCAGGCTCTGAGCCATCAGCCCAGAGCCTGATGCGGGGCTCGAACTCACGGACCGCGAGATCGTGACCTGGCTGAAGTCGGACGCTTAACCGACTGCGCCACCCAGGCGCCCCTGTCTTTTATATTTTTAAATGGGGACATGGGAGAAGAGAAATTAAAATAAGCCCCTTCCCATCTTTCTACCTACTCCATTCTTACCCAAACATAGTAGGAAAAGGCAGTCACGTACATAGAGTTGGGTCTCTGGGTATACAAATAATAAAGAAAGACTCGCTCTCTTTGCCAAAAAACACCAACTTCAGATCATCCTCAGCATTCAATGAGCTGAACTACTGTAGACTATAAAAAGGAAAAGAGGTCAGTATATGAGAGAAACAGTGAATTCGTTTCTGGGGAAAGGAACAGTTGACGTCAAGGGAAAGAAATGTGGCTGAAGATGCTGTCACAGAGCACATGGCCAGCCCTGGAGGACTGTAGTGGGCTACTGTGCTTCATCTCTCTTCCCACTTCCCAGATTCCCACTTCCCAGATCATGTGTGATAGGTGCAGTTGGGGACAAAGGGAGAAAGCAACCCCACGGAGTGTAAGAGGAAAAAGCAGAGTACAAGAAGCAATGGAAGAACAAGGAATCCTGTGGCCACTCAAATTGCACACCGGGGCATTCATTCCCTGGTGGCTCTTTGTATGTAAGGGTCATACTGAAGTGACACAGAAAATGTTCTGTATGATTTTAAATGATGGTTCCTACTGAGGACCCCTCCTACTAAGGACTCGTAATTCACAGAGAACTTCAATCACTGACCAATAATAAAGACCATCAACAATCTGAATATTCTGAAGAAAAAAAAAAAAAAACAAAAGGATAACCCTCAGGATTCTCTCTCTCACACACACACTGATCCTAAATTGAAAATGAGGTGAAATAAACATATGCATAACCATACCTTTCCCCCTGATTTTTTTCTTGTGCTTTTCCTTCTTTGACTCCTCTCCAATGAAGAGGAAAACAAGGTCAGATAGGAAACACTCAATGGAATTCGATGATAGACTGGTCATGCATGACAAAGGAGCTAGAGGTGAACTGGAGAAAGAGGCCTACAAATGCATCCTGACGTACCACACAAACATACTTCCAGTAATATATTTTCGCCAACAGGACCATAGACAAACTGTACGAGGTAGTCACCCTTTCAACTCCTTTTCTGAACCCCTCTTCCCATTGTGTCCCTAAACACTTACAGCCCTCAAGGACCACCCTAATCTCTCCAAAATTCTCCTTTCTTTGTCCCACTTCTCATTCAAAGTTTGCCTAACACAAAGCTTTATGTATTATTCTTAATAGCTGATGACAGCAATTCAGAATAGAGAGTGGATGAGGTTTAATGGAGGGTTCACTTCTACTTTAAAAGAAATTTAAAATGGAAGGGAAGGGGTTGCTCTGCATATTTGAACTGAGCCTTCACAAGGTTCCAATCTGACTCCGGTTCATAACAGTTCCTAATTAAAGGTCTTCTAATTTTATCTCCAAGACAATAGAGAGCCCTTGTTATTTTTCTGCCGCTTTAGTCACTCCAAGAACTTCTGATCCCTCCAAAGAAACATGGAGGGAAGAAAGGGAATGCAGAAGAGGAAATGAAAATCTCTGTATTCTCAATCTTCACAATCCAATAAAGAGGGCGTGGCCACTTCCCACTGCAGCTTGGAGTGGTTAAGTATTTTGGCCACACACACACACACACCCCTTATGGATGACATGCCAAATATATATATACAAGGTACCAAATACTGCAATTAGTTTCACTAAATATGCTCTTTACGAAGTAAATGATGGTACTTACAAAAGGGAGTGAGTATCTTATATTTTATGTTAAATTGCCTTAGAAACTATCAGGTAAGTTCACTTTGTTTGGGGGTACCGTTTTTATAAAATCTTAGAACCTGATTTGCCAGTCTAGTCAGCTCTCTATCTACAATAAGGTTCTCCATTCATAATTGAGAATGAGGTCACTGTCCCAACGAAAACCAGAAAATCCTCAAAGCAACTTATCCCCACTGAGGCTCAATCCTCAATCTTACCCTTTAGCATATTAATTCCCAGAAGCACATTTTCCTCCAGATTCTACAAAATCAGGGCTACTGAGTTCTTCAGGAGGCATCAAAAATTTGGAGAGCCAAGCCGTGCCAACTGGCAAATACAGCTTTCAATCAGCCACCTGAATTATTTTGGGAGGCTGGAGGCATCACCATTTCCAAGAGCTGTTGGTGCCAAGTGAGCAGAAAGGTTACAGGCAGTTTGAATCAAGCTCTTAGACTATGGGTTTCAGTTTTTCTTCAAAGCTGCTTATGAAAGAAGGACTGAGTGAAACATTGATATTTACGTCAAGTCACAACTAAGGGGAAGGTTTGCAAAATCAATTGTGCAGCTTTTATACTCACTGCACACTTACCACATATGTCCTTTATTACACAGTGGAAAACCATTAAATGCACAGTAGTTTTGCCAAGTGGCATTATGCATTTAACAGCTTTATTCGTTTAACAGCCCCAACTCTCATTATATTTTGCCATGTGGTACATGGGATTTTATGCATTTAACAGTTTAAGAAGGCTCTATGGTGTTTTCCTTTCATGTATTTCATACTATGGTGGACATCGTATCTTAGAAAACTGTATTTCAATGATTTCATTGGTGAGCGAAGAGAAAGAATAATCAGCAAAAATGACTATCCTTAAAATAAACAGGGAAATGAATGTTTCAATCCTCTTCTAAATTCCTTGATATTCTACTCCTTTCCTTTTATCATCTGAAAAATAAGTAAGGTGACTGCGAAACTACAGAAAAAAAAAAAAACTATACAGTATTTAACTATCATTTTAAAAATGGTAATTGAATTTTCACTGAAAATCTTCCTGCTTAATAGAAATACAATATTCAGTAACTCCTTTTCTTTACAGCACACAACAGAAGATCTGTTAAGGAGATGCTGGACCATTATACCATTTACATATGTGGGATGAAAACATTTGTCATGCGAGGCCACAGAGGAAATCAAGCTCAGAATCAAAGGATCCTCAAAATTATGCTTTAGCTAACTTTTGTTTCCTCCACCCTGCACTGGATAATTATTCATCCTAGGGATAAATAAGTAACCACCTCAACATAACCCATTCGAGGATAGGGTAGTAGTTATCCCTTTAAACGAATTGAGACAGATAGTGAGTCCCATCAACTGTTGCTGCTTACAGAAATAAAAAACCTAAGCATCTGTCTCCCCTTTTCCCTGGAGTATTCCATTCCCCACAATCCCGACACTGAGAAACTGTACTGGATAAGCTTCTATGTTTTTCTGTTATGAATTTTAGCACTCATTCTGGACTCCCCCACCACCCCACACATGTGTTTTTTCCTGGAAAAACAACTGTATTCTACACATAAAAGAAACACCTGACATGGCAAGGTGTCTCTGGGGCTGGAGAAAAGAGGTTATTATAACAAAGTCAGCAGTTCCCCTGGTGGGAATAAGAGAAGGGATGAGACAAGATTCCAACTAACTGAGTCTCAGGAAGATGCTATTTTGTACATGCTAAGTTTTGCTCAACAAAGAAAGAAAGAAAGAAAGAAAGAAAGAAAGAAAGAAAGAAAGAAAGAAAAGAAAAGAAAAAAAGAAAAAAAAGAAAGGAAAAAGAAAGGAAAGTGGATACACAGCAGTGCTTAGAATTATGAGAGAAATCATTCAAGGTTGATTCTATTTGAAAAAAAAAATCTTTAAAAGAAAAAATCTGGATTTTAACTTAGTCTCTATTTTAAACTCCAGTGGGAATAAAAGCAAACCATAGAGCAAAAGGCAGAACATGACAGGTTCCCTTGGGATTATTATTGTTATTATTATTATAGGAACAGATGTATTTTTATTGGTGGGAGGAGAATGGTCTAATTCCAGCCCTCGCTTTTGCTCTTTTAAAAAACCACTCACCTGACTTTTATTTGCAGCCACTTTGGCAAACAGGGCTTGAGACACCTTGGCCCTTTTCATCTCCTGTTGGATCTCATCATAAATGGCAGCTGTGATGTTGACGTTGGTGCCGTCCACCTTAATGGGGAGGTCTGTTGTCGGTGTCGAGGTTTTGGCCTACCAAGAGACCATGAAAATAATAATTTAAAAAGTGCTGCATTCAGCCCAGCCATCTGTGCAGAAATTATCAAAGGATTTCAGTCAGCTGATGCCAAACTGCATTAGCTACAAAGGGACACTTCCTGTCCATTATTCTAATCAGGTTAATTGTGATTGGAAATAATTGCAGTGCATTCCTATAGGACATGCAGAGTCCTGTCAACCCTGTTCTTTTCCTCACGGTATCCTAGACGGTTCACAGGTACGATGGCTACCCCAGGCACCAAACTATAAGAGATCACCTAACTGGAAAACAAGCATGCAGAACACACAAAGAGTTACCTCTTTCTTTCTAAAAATGGCACACCTAGGAGGAAGAGCCAATTCTTCCAGAAAAAAAAAAAAAAAAAAAAAAAAAAAAAAAAATGAGTAAATGGGTAGAGGTCTCTAAATAATAAATTATTACTCAATTTAATGCACTCCCCCGAGTCTCGCTCATTCTTTATTAAAGCTTTACATATGTCATTTGAGTATGTATGGTTTCCCATCACTATCATCATTATGCTACCCAGACAGTCACCTAATTTCACCTAGGAAATCAGTGGAAATGAAACAAAATTTCATTTCATAAAACTAGGCTTCAGAATGCCTTTGATGTGCCGTTTTCATTTTCTTAAACTCATATTGTGGTTTTATGTATTCTGCCGTGTTCGTTTTAATTGAATGATTTCCCATCAGCTTCAGAGACAAATGAAGGACAATATAGAAGGTGTCTGTACTTCTTGGGGTTGAGATAACCCTAAAACATTTGCATCTCCACGATCCAAAAGACTGCCAGAGCATTTCCTCTGGTGTGTAATGAGGGGCGGGGAGGGGGCAGGGGGCTGGGAAGCCTTCTCAGAACCCCAGGGAGCAGGACTGTGGGCAGAGTGGGCACCAATTTTTGGCACCTGAGCACAGCTGGCTGATTTGAACTAAACTGAAATTTTTCTGTCTGCACTCACCCTAGAATCCCCAACCAAGGCAGTTGTCACCAGATCATTACTTTCCTTCTATGGAGGCCCTGAGCTACTCCCCCACTGATTTAAGCAACACGCAGATTTGGAGAGGGACACAGCATGCAGTCTGGATACTGTGGGATCATTCTCCGTAGCATCTTGAAGCCCGAGTTAATGTCCTAAGTTTCTATGAAGGCTTTAATTCATAAGATTGCTCACTGATTTTTGCATTCTCCTCTCTCCCTGTCTCCACAAAACTCTAGTTACTGCAAGGTAATAATAACTATAAGGTATGTGATACTTTTTATTTGCCAAGCACTCCAGAAAGTGTTTTGCTTTTGTTATTTCATTTAATTATTTGAAGAACCCAGTACGTCAGACTTTATTATGTTCATTTGACTAAGGAAGACAAGTGAAAATAAAAGAAGACACTTAACTTCCTGGAAAGACAGCAGCCATTGAAGGAACCATGATCGGAACTCAGGAGTTTCCAGCTCCAAAGCACTGGCTGGGGACCACTGTGCTATCCCACCTCCAAAATCTCCAGTGTAGACTGGATGCTGTTTTTACAAGCATCTTCTTGCTTTCTAGTTTGGGGTCTTCCCACAATAATCCAATTTTCTGTCATTTTTTTTTTTCAAGAAACTCCTTTTTCTTCTCAAAATTTCTAGTTAACTTGCAGTGCTTTTCCTGCTAAGTGCATATTTCAGCATATCATTTCTGCCTTTCCCAACTGAAATTTCTTCATTAGCCTCATTGACTATCTCATCTTATTAGACTGGTCAAATCTCCTCTAGAACCCTAGAGGCTAAAGAAAAACCTCTCAGGGCACTATAATATATGGTTAGGAGCCCAGGCCTTGGAATCAAAATAATCAGTGATCAAATCCTAGCTCTACCACTCAATCATGTGACCTTGCACAAAGTACTTAACCCATTAAAACCTTAGTTTCCTCATCTGTAAAATGGGAATAACAGCACAAAATGGTGAGGATTGAATTCATGCAAAATGCTCACAATACCTGACACACAGTTAGTGCTCAGTATGATCGTTTTTATCCTTATGCTGTTGTTTTGTCGTCATTAAGTACATCAAGAAATACTGGCCAACTGAAAGATTATGAGATGGGGCTCTGAAGATTTGATTTTATATTTTAAATTTCCTCCATTTGTTTTAAACTGGTAATAAAATGTTGATGGGGTCTAGGAAATATTCTCCATCAACCTACATGGGGCTGCCTGGGTGTTTTAGATTGCTGGCTCCAACTAAAAGCTTAATCAGTGGGTATTCCTATAATATTTGTTCTCACAAATGAAAGCTTTACTAAGGATCTTTACTATTGAGATATGTATGTAAAGAAGTTTAAGTAAGTAATCATGAAATGTTTTAAAAGACTTTAATAACTTCCCTTTCTCAATGTTTAACAGAAAAAGAAAGTTCCAGAGAATGTACAAATGCCAGTGGCATGACTATATTCTCAAAACTATTTTGAGAAGAAGATTTTATATTTATATTCAGAAATCTCAAAACTGTGAAATTAAATGATCAATTTCCCTGTTATTCTTGTCCCCAAAGGGCACTTCTACCTGGGAAATTTCTAGATGAGATTTTTCTGCTGTTCAATACAGCAAAATACTGACCCTGGTTGTTTTGCCTGATAAATTGGTCTGGCTCTGAAAGCTTTCAGGTCTTTGAAAAGGTGCCTAAGATATAATTGCATCAGAAAAATATTAAAAGGAAATGGAAAAACAACCTGGACTTGACTTATTTTCTAACAAGTAGAAATGACTTTTTGAGAAGAGCTGGTTAAATGGCCATGAAGCATGGCTGGACTCTCTATAATGATTTAATGGGCTTCAAAAGTGGCAACAATATTGGTGAATTTAATAGAAGTAAATATTAGTGCAAATTAACAACTCGTCCAACTCCATAGCTCAATATATATGCCTCAAGATTTTAAAAAAATAAATAAAAAGAAAAATGCTTCATTACACTCATCTAAAGTAAGCAGTCAAGAGACTTATTTTTGGTTTAACAGTACCTAAAACTCATAATTCACCCAAGACTAAAGTGAAAGTATCACAATTTGGCACTACATGACAGAAAACGATCTTCAATTAAAAATCTATTGCAGAGTTAAAAAACAAAAAGTTATGACGTGTGAAAAAAAATGGATGTACTTGAGAAAGCTCAAGTATTTCTACTAGAATAAAATCTCCTATGTTTAATCAGTTCCTTGGAACTTACCAGAAAACATTCATAACACCAAAACTAAGCAAAACAAAACAAAAACAAAACAAAAAAACAAAAAAAACTTTGGTTACAAAGTGCCCATTTTTCTGATTTGTACAAATGCATACTTGTTAAATATTTGTTTTGAGACATAACTTGCAGTCATCCTGGCAACAGTGAGTCAGATGGTTTTATCGTAAATCTATTGACCAGTAACAGTTTGGGAGAAGTAAAAAGTAGGCTAGAAATGAATGGGCTCAGATGTGAAGTGGAAAGGACACTTGGCTGACTTGAGATGTTGACCATTTAGTTAGGATCGCTGACGCTCACAGCATTACCAGACATGTGAATTTGCAGAAGGACCTGAGAACAGAATGCTTTTAAAGTGTGGGGAAAAAAGGAGAGAAGGAAAGCTGACTCACTGAGTCCTGTAGGGAGATCACCCAAGGAAGGAAAATCATTAAGGCCTGCATACCTTCCCACTACCGTTTTCTAAGGGATCCCTGAATGATCGCCCAAACATTCTGATCCAGCCGCTCCATATGCGTGCTTCAACCATACACAGATTTCTCCTCCATTTTGTCTTTTTCGAAGTGCATAAACAAGAGCTTGGATTACTCTCCTTGTCCTTGTCCCCAGCCCTAACCCACCCCCCTCCACCAATCCCCACTTCCAAACTAATATACAGTTTAAGGAAAGTAGTGTTCTTACTACGTAAACTCAGCTTCAATTCAAATCCCCTGACTCCATCTTAGATAACTAAGTAGCTGTGTGTAAACAGTCTGGAGCCTACCTATCCACCCACTCCTGCCCTTTTCTGTGTGGAAGAATGGTACTTTCCTCAAGGGACAGAAATACCATATGACACAGTCAAGGATAACCATTCTTACATGGTCAGAGGTTCACATTCTCAGATCAACAAATCTTTGAATTATGTCTCTTAGTTTTTGAGAGAAATGCAGTATCAGTGAAGGCAAGATGTTTCCAAGGCCAAGACTGAAAAGTCAGCGGAGCAAAAATATCTCACCTGAGGGGTTCGGGAGGAGCTGGGACTGCTAGAGGCTGACGAGACCATGCTCACATTGGGATTCATGCTCCGTTCCCTCTCGTCCTGGTAAATGCGATCCCGCTCCACTTCCGGCAGATTGAGGAAATTCTGCATGGCCCTCAGGTTTACTAAAAGAGACTGAGAGGCTGTCCGAGGGTCTTCTTCCTTACGCAAAATCTCAGACAACAATCCCTGATTAAAAGGAAGAAAAAAGAAAAACAGGCCAAGTCATATCTGCAGGTACGTGTGTGGTTTCCATCATCTGCCCCCTCCCCCTTTGTTGGTATTACCAGCTGGCTGTGATGTCAAGAACCTCAGTCTAATTGCTGAGGGTTCTTCAGCAGTAAGATTTTGTGGAACTGTGCTTGCCTTCCAGGGCTGTGCCTTAATCTGGACCGTTCTATTCTGACACTTTATCATCACTGTAATAATCGTCAGTGTACAGAGATGCCAGCTAGCAAGGTAGGCGCTCGGAAGGCTTGTGAAACTGCAATTACCACCAGGTGCCTCCTACAAGTATTTCAGGAACTGTTAGAACTCTCTCTGCTTGAAACTGGGAACACTTGGCAGTCCTGCTCAGCTTTACAAATCTGCCAAGTTTGGTAAATTTAGTTCCGACATTTAAACAGCATGGGAGATTTACATCGACTTAAAAAAAAAAAAAAGTTTGGCTGAATTTCTGTGTGACCGGCCACTGTTTTCAATATAGATGTTTCTCATGGCAAAAAAAAAAAAAAAAAAAAAAGACACAAAGCAAATGTCCATAACTTGTGTTAACCCTCTGATAGCTTCTCAATCCACATACATAATTGGTATCCTCGTATGTGTACCAGAGGGCACCCAAACTTTTTTTCATGAGATGCCCTCCTTGGGGAAGCTCTAATCCCACCGTCGTAAAAATACAGGCACAGCTGGTGAGGGGTCAGAGCACACATCAGAGAATGCCATGTATAGACTCAGATAATTTCTGAACATGTGACTCATCCAAAAAGCTTTAAATAGGAAATTGGTGTTTTCATGTGCTCGGATGGCAGAGAACTCACAAAGGGAAGGAAAATGTTGACAAGTCTAGAGAAAAGTAGTATACACGCAAGAAAAGGGCTAGAACCAGAGTTCTAATCACTGAAGTAATCTGGGCAAAAGCTAAACAATTTCCATTCTGAACTCTTGTTAAATTTTCACAAAGAGACATCACTTTCCACCTTCCAATTCAGGGTGTCTCTTCTCAGGGCAATATGAGACCAGAGTCTAGGATCATCCTCCAGGAAGAGCTGAAATGCTAACTTCTGTATCTTAGAACACACGGGGCAACCCAAAATTGCGAAAAGTAGGTGCCAAAGACATTTCCACTGAGGGAAATATGAATGCAAAGAAAACACTATCAGATTTGTAAAGTATGGCTTAAATATAAAAAGGTGTTAGATCCAAGAAGAATATACCACCTCTGGTTGGAAAGAAATCTTCAGGGTAAGGTAGGCAAGTTTTAAAAATAAGTAATGCATTTGTAATGTAGTGAAGCAAATATCACAAGAGTGTGCATCACACAGCTATTAGCACTTTAAAGAGGTAATCACCACTCAAAGTATCATGTAAGACAATTTATAAGGATGTACACATAGTATGACATATGATAGTTCTGTAATACGAGTGTCATGTTGCTTTGATTAGAGAAGCCTTTGCAAACAAGAATGAAATAAGCCACACAATGAAGCCAGAAGAAATGTTAAGTGCATGTCTGTGTGCATGCATGCCCAAGGAAAGGAAAAGGTAGGACATGAATGTGAAAATACTGTATTGGTAAAATGAGCATAAGAAAATCTAGATGTATCATGCTTTTAGAAGCAAGAGACATTTGTCTTCCAGAAAATGTTACACAATCTAGGTATGGATTCTTTTTTGAAATTCAAAGTCAGTTCTGCCTTAAGTTATCCTACTTTCCACTTGCATGAAGCAACTTGAAATATTAATAGTTAATTTGTTCTAAGATAAAATTCTCTAAATTAATATGTAGAGAGACAAGAGGGAAGTGGATTTAAAATCAATACCAATAAGACACTAAGATTGATGTTTTCTGAGCTTTCTTTAATAATGAACTCAGTGCATATGGGATGAGTCGGTCCCCTCCTCCTCCTCCTCTCCTTTCTCTCTCTAGCATAAGCAACTTTAGCACTTTAATAAATCTCAGTCTGCCAAATTGGGAGGAATTTTAGGGGTTGCATGGATATAGTCTTTACACTAGTTATTACAACGATACTTATAGTACCTCAAAGGCAGTTTGTAAACGTATTCTTCTTCTGTGAAATTATTTTTGAAAGTGGAGTACATTATAGTAAAGATCTTACATACAAAATAGTGAAATAACAAAAACTATTGTTCTAATGGACCACGTTCAAAATAGCAAGTCTGTTCATTCATAATCAATAAAAAAATTATTGCAAAGCATAGAGGTCTTTTACTTGTTTCTCTTTTTGGCTTGGTTGACTGTTTTTTTTCTTCCCCCCACCGCCCCCAACCCCTACACTGAAATCCTTCCCCTACATTTTTTACATGTTGGACAACCTTATGGGGAAATGAATCCATCTCTAAGAAAAATCAAGACAAAGCACCCTTGTAAATGATTGCTCATCAGCATCATTTCTGAAGTGAGTGGGACACGATGTTTGTGTTCTAAGGGGCTGGTGGAATATACTATTGCCTCTGTTTTATTTGCCTAATTGAAGATAAAGTCTCAAACCAACAAGGTGGCCAGTGCTGCCTCCACTATTGCCCCAGAGAATGAGAACACTGTTCTAAATTATTTACTTAAAGTCTCATCTGTGTAGCCACGGTTCCAAAGCAGATTCTTTTTACCCCAGACGTTTTCAATAACAAGTGGCTAACTGGTGAGCACAAAAAGAGTTTTAGTTGTTTTGTTGAGTCTTTTTCATTTGGTTATTTATGTGCTCCTCGCTATTTAAACTGGAATTAAAAAAATATATAGTCCAAATTCTGCAGGCTCATAAATGTAGAGTGAGTTTATTTAGTTAGCTGAAAATCATCATGGCGAAAAAAAAAATCCAAAGAAAATCTATGGCATAATTTACACTACAAACCACCTTATCTAATTATCAAGATAAGTAAATGTTTATCATATTGAAGCTGTCTTGAATAGAACATAAATTAATAATTTATCTCACATAAATATTTCTAAAGCCCTTGCCACTATGCTGTCTCGCATTTTAATTATCAACCGGCCAGGCGGGAGGTGTCACTTAAACATTCCCATTATGCAGCCTGAGATACAGAGAATGTGGCATGTCACCTGGGCACTGAGGGAAAAAAAAAAAAAAAGTGTACTTTTATGAATAGAAAGATCATGAATATTGAGAATGTGAAAATTGAGGGAAATTAATAAATTAACCGGGATATTGCTTATTAAACTTTCATATCAGTAATCACATTAAAACATATTGCAAGTATTGAGTAAAGTGGTCATTAAGAATTTCTCTCATTGTAGGCAACAGAGCCTTCTCAAGGGAGACATTATCACAATTCCCAGCATGGTGTTAGCTGAGGTTATGTAAGACCAGGAAACATGTTGACTGAAAAGGAGTAGCGTGAACATCTGCACAGGAAAGAAAGCCACCTTGCACGACAGCTCTTGGGTTACAAGTCACTGAAAAAAGAACCGAGGTGGGAAAAAGAACCTCAAACTGGCCTTCTCCCTGGACTTTTAATGGGGGATTTTGTATATGATGTTGGCAGAAAATTCAATAAAAACAAAATAATTGAAAGCACAAGAGATAATATGATGCCATCTAGCTCGGTTGCTACTAGAGGCTATCTCCACAAACAAAACAAAGAATTTGGGCTGATTTTTAAAATGAAAAATTGATATACTTATTATTTTGAGCACTTTAAACAATATTTCTATGTGGCAAATGAAATGACCTTATAGTTTCTGATCTGCAATTTCTGTTGATGAGCTTTCTTGTTTACATTATTATGATTTCCATATTTCTTCAACAATTTATATAGTTTGCCCCAAATTGTTCCTGTGTAAAATACATGTTGATAACTCAGAAATGCTTGGGAAACATTACCAGGACTGGCTCCCTAAAATTTAGTTTTAAGTTCCTGCACTAGCCCTTGCGGCCTTGTCTGGGACAGGTGAGAAACTGCTTATGCTGAGCGTTAATTCTAAGAGAGCAAGAAGAGAACCAAAACCTGGGCCAGGTTTTACGAACGCTAAGTCTGAGCCCCTCAGACCTTCCCAGGCAACTCCAGAACTTACAGCAACATTGGAGGTCATTGCTGCCTAGATTTTAACAGCCACTTGTTCTGGATATCTCCCAGACCTTTAGTAATTCTGTCGGATCAAGCTCTACTGTCCATTGCTTATCTAGGAAACCCCCAAACTCAATGTACCCATTACCAAAAAATGACAGATCAGTCTATTAATTCATTTCTTATTTATGACTTGGTATGAAGCTCAGAAAGGAAAGAAAAGATTAAGAAGACACAGATTCTGCTGCCAAGGAGTTCACTATATGATGGTTTATAAAAACACAATGTAAAAGATGACAAGTGTCATAAATTCCAGATAGAATGAGTGCCGGCTCAGTTCAGAAGAGGGTAAAGTATTGCCAACTCAGGGAAAACATTTTGGAAGAAGTGGGACTTAACCTGGCTGGGATCTGAAATATACATAGTACATAGCTATAGAGACAACGATGAGACTAGCCAAGGGAGGGATCGGCCAGTATTAAAACACTGGAAGGAAAAAAAAACAGCATGGCTGATCTAGAATACCAAGAGAAGTGTCTTTTTCCTTAAAAGCTTTAAAAAAAGGTACAAAAACTGATAAAGCTTTGAAGTGAAACTACTATAGTCTACATTAATATAATTCTGAACTACTGGAGTATACACAAAATAACCAGCAAACATTACCCCCAAAATGAAGTGATATTAGATAATCTGTTCAGCCTTTTTGTCACCTGCAACAAATTAGGCTTTCAATATGCAAAACATCTTCCTTCCAGAAAAACAAATGATCATGATTCCATTTAATTGTAATTTAATGAGGCATAATTTATTTTTTAAAGTGATATATACCAGGTGTGTACTGAGGAAACTGGCCCAGCAAACCCCGGTGCTCCCCCTTGGAAAAAGCTTCAAGCTAGCTGGAGACTGTTTTCATTTCTGTAAATTAC